ATCACCACCACCGCCTTCACATCACCACCGCCTTCACATCACCACCATCGCCTTCACATCACCACCACCGCCTTCACATCACCACCACCGCCTTCACATCACCACCACCCCCTTCCCATCACCACCATCGCCTTCACATCACCACCGCCTTCCCATCACCACCACCGCCTTCCCATCACCACCACCGCCTTCCCATCACCACCATCGCCTTCCCATCACCACCACCGCCTTCCCATCACCACCACCGCCTTCCCATCACCATCACCGCCTTCACATCACCACCACCGCCTTCCCATCACCACCACCGCCTTCACATCACCACCATCGCCTTCACATCACCACCGCCTTCACATCACCACCATCGCCTTCACATCACCACCACCGCCTTCACATCACCACCACCGCCTTCACATCACCACCACCGCCTTCACATCACCACCGCCTTCACATCACCACCATCGCCTTCACATCACCACCACCGCCTTCACATCACCACCACCGCCTTCACATCACCACCGCCTTCACATCACCACCATCGCCTTCACATCACCACCACCGCCTTCACATCACCACCACCGCCTTCACATCACCACCACCGCCTTCACATCACCACCGCCTTCACATCACCACCATCGCCTTCACATCACCACCACCGCCTTCACATCACCACCACCGCCTTCACATCACCACCGCCTTCACATCACCACCATCGCCTTCACATCACCACCACCGCCTTCACATCACCACCACCGCCTTCACATCACCACCGCTCGTCACGCTGCGTAATGCGAGCAGCCACGTGCTGGACGCCGGCTCCATGAGAGTCGCCGTGCGGTTCTTCTCCGTTTACAGCCCTTCGCTCGCGTTTTCCTGTGTCGCGATTTTCCCAGTTTGTTTTCCCGCATTTTGCGTCCAACGCTACGCAGCTTGGCTGTGTGCGCGCGTGCACCTAGCCTGGCACAAGCACCGTGTAACGTCGGTCATCGCACGTTTCAGCGCCGACGTCTTAAGCGCGCGCCCCTGTGTTCGCGTGAGCGTGTGAAGGCCGCTCACTTGGGCATCCTGGGAGCCGGAGGCCGCGGCGGGCGGGGGGGTCCAGGCTCCTCCGGGAGGGGGCGGGGGTCGCGTGGTCGGGGCGGCCGGGGTGGTTACCGGGGCTCACGGGGCGGCCGTCACCCCCTGATGTCGCACACGGCGCTGGATTACCGGCCACGTGCGCTGCAGGTGTGCGGCCTCGCCGCCGAGGACAAGGACGACATCCTGCTGCACTTCAAGGTGCGCGTTTACTTATGGGTGTGTTGTGCATGCGTGCTTGTGTGTACATCTGCGTGTTCACGCACAGCCCCTTTGCTGCTGAATGAGGGCCTCCCTTCCACCCTTCAGGTTGATGAAGGCGGTGGGGAGCATAGATGTGGGAGCTCAAAGTAGAGTACAACTGTATTTTGCTCCACTGCCCTCTGCCACCCACTACACAGCCTTTTATCCAGGCTCAAACCTGTTTGGGTCACGAGATCTGATGAAACCAGGTGCATTCCAGGTGTACAGCCTTAAGACTCCAGGAGCAAGTGGTGTTAGCGAGCACTCATGAAGGCTGGCATGGCACACGAGGGGGTGGATGGCCAGCACCACGCCCGACCGCCTTTTATGCGTGTGTGTCATTGATTTTAGCGCGTGCGTGCGTGTGCAATCTGCGTGCGAGAGCAACAGTGATATGGTGCTTTGGTCGTGTGGGCGTGAGCAGAGTCTAGGGGAGGTGGAGGATTTCCGCAGCGACGAGGGGTCCTCGTCGGCCGTCGTCACCTTCAAGACGCGCCTGGAGGCCGAGCACGTGAGTGTCGCCCTCTCCCCGCGCGGCCGCGCACGTCCCTCGCGAGACTTCAGCGTTGCCTGCAAGGCCCCGGCGCCTCCCCCGTGCTGCCGGCGCCGGTCGCTCGCTTGCGTATCCGTTTTCATCGGTAAACGGGAAGGCCTGTGTTGGCCACGCGAGGGACAGCCTGTGCGTGCGTTGTACGAGGCCTGGATCGATTCACTTGGCGATTCCAAGTGTCGCGATTCAGGTGTCACGTTTAAATCTAGCAATCAATTGTTTCTCGCCTCTTGTTTTTTTTGTCTCGTTTGTCTTTTGCCTGTCGTTATCTTCGATGCAACATGAGCAAAGTATGTTGTGGATTCACTCTTCAACACACCGGTGGGCTAAAGTAGTGAACTAATTGTCTTTTGTCAACGTGACACTTTAATTTGCTGATTGGCCGTGTCGGGTGGTGGAGGGTTACGACACATTTATAAATAACGCGATCTAACCCCAAAACCTTTATCATGAATATCTTAGATAGTCTTACATCGTGGCATTCCCGAAGCGAGTCTGTGACATCACGTCTCGCACCGATCGTCGAGTCCGCGTTTCCACCCGCAAATTCCCTGCGAGTCGATGACCCCCCCCGTGTCCTTCTCTCCGTGTCTCCCCGTCCGTGTCTGCCGGCGTCCGCGCCGTCTCAGGCTGCGACACAGGGCGCGCGCTTTAAAGGCCGAGACCTCGTGCTCTCCTGGCACAAGCCAAAGATGGCGTCCACGTCGGCGGAACCCGAGGACGAGGACGCGGAGGAGGAGGAGGTACGAGGCGGTTGTCCCAGAGCGTGTGACGCAGCGAGCGACGCGGTTAGGGACGCATCGTGGGCTGTTGTGCTAGGCGTCTGGCTCGGCACAAGCACTGTTATCACATCGCCACGGGCCATGAGCCTATTGGGTGTGAAACCGTCTGCTTTAGCGTCTGTACGTGCATGTGCACGCATGGACGTGTGTGTAATCGTGTATGGTGTGGGCGTAACCCCGCGTTTGTACCTGTGCATACGCGTAACCGTATTTGCGACCGTGACTGACCGTGTGTGACTGACCGCGTGTGTGACGGTGACCTTGACCGTGTGTGTGACGGTGACCTTGACCGCGCGTGTGACCGTGCGCGTGCGCCAGGAGGGCGAGGCCGCAGATGACACGCTGCTGCAGGACGATGACGAGGAGGAGGAAGAGGACGAGTCGCGCTCCTGGAGGCGATAGCGACCTCGTCACCACGGCCTGCCCCCTCTGGCTGGGGATCCCCACCCCGCCCACGGCCGTCTGCCTGCGTTAAATTTGACCCGTGGCTTGGAAGCGATCGGGATTGTCAGGAGGCTGCGTTGTTGTTTTGATATCGCTATATTTACGGTAATTTGGCAGCGAGCAGAGCGGAGGGATGTTCGCTCGGGTTAGGTAAGATGTTACGAGCTGTACACAGATCTCTAAAATTGGATTTAAACAACTTGTAATATAACTCTTAGTTTGTAAAAATATGAATCTTGCGCGCTGTGTTATAGTCACGGTTTGCATTTGGACAGGTCATAGTTTTTATGCTTAGTATTTTATGACTAGGACATGGTGGCGTATATTTTTTTGTGTCGTTTTGATTGTCTCAATTGCTTTACACGCGAGACGGATGCAGCGCCACGAGGGGGCAGCTCCAGCAGCGCCGTCACGTGACACGGCCGAAATTCCCGCGCTGCGACGTTGCCCCTCCCCCTGTCCCCCCCCCGTATCCGGGTGGCGTGGCTGCCCTCCCCGTGTACCGTGGGCGGCCGGTGAAGTCGACCGGCTCGAGTCGGATTCCCCCATTCCCCCCGCCCGCCTTCGCTCGCCGCCCTGCGTCCGCACGGTGGTGGCGGCGGCGGCGGCGTCTTCGTTGTGAATTTTTACTCTCGTTGATTTTGTTTTTGGCATTGAAAGGAAATAAAACGTGGAATGGTTTTGGGGGAAAAAGAAAAAAAGAATATCAAGTGAAATCCTAAATGAGCTGGAATAAAAAAAAAACTCAAATGTAAACACCTTGATTGGAAATGAAATTGGACAAAACAAATGAAACCATTCCGATTGAACTCCCCCAAGTTTTTCCAAAAGAACTTTTACCAAGTGTCAAGGCATTTTTCACATGGGCTCTGTGTACGAGTGTCTGTACGAGTGTGTGTACGAGTGTGTGTACAAGCGTGCGTGCGACAATCCCGGCGACCCGAGTTCGTTTCCCGCTCAACACAGGTGACGATCATCTGAATAGGTCATTGGCCTCCCCTAGGTTAACTCGGCCTAAAATGAGTACCTGGTGCGGTGTGTAAACATTGCCATTGGGGAGATAAAAGGCTGCCCCACACACCACCTCGTGTGCCATGCCGGCCTCCCAAGGTGCTCGCCCACAGCACTTGCTTCAGTCTGTTATGGCTATACAGGGGATATTTGTGCTAAGACAAAGTGGGGGGTGATGGTGTAGTGGTTGGCGAAACAAACCCGAGTTTGTCAGAATTTATCATGAGCCTCTACTTCGTGTACCCGGTAATGACCACCCAACTCTTCCTCCGGCCTCGGTGCTCGCTAACAGCACTTGCCCCAAGTCTGCTAAGGCTATACGGTCTTCTGAATGTGTAATACACGGGCAGGGTGCGAGTGGTGTCCGTTGTCGCGCCCGGGAGTAACGCGGTTACTCCACAGTAACCCGATTTGTGGGGTCGCAGGGGCCCCCCTCGCGAGTGCAGGGCAGCGGACGTCGCCCCCATTACCACATTTACAGCTCTCAGGGCGGTAACGGGAGACGCGTCTTGGAGCAGCGCCGCTGTGGTGCAGTCGGGGGGAGTGGTGTGAGTGGTGGTGCAGTCGGGGGGAGTGGTGTGAGTGGTGGTGCAGTCGGGGGGAGTGGTGTGAGTGGTGGTGCAGTCGGGGGGAGTGGTGTGAGTGGTGGTGCAGTCGGGGGGAGTGGTGTGAGTGGTGGTGCAGTTTGGGGGAGTGGTGCGAGTGGTGGTGCAGTTGGAGTGGTGGTGATGCTGGTGGGGTGGGGGGAAGTGATTTTTGGGATGCGAGATGGCTCTGAAGGCTAACCTCATTCTGTTGCTAACCCACTTCGACAGGAAAGACGCTCTAACCACGTATCGATTCCCTTCCCCGCCCACCCCGGGTGACGAGACCCCGGAAATGAGTGACTCGCAGGGTAAAGGAAACCTCTCCGTGTCGGTTTAATCGCATTCTCGTCTCCGAGTCATCCACCTCCCCGCATAACGACCACGGGTAAAACACCCTCCAAATAACGGCCACAATACAGCTGCGAAACCCAGACCACCAACACCACCAAACGTCCCCACCTTCACCACAACCCCACGGGCTTGCTCTCACCCCCACGTGCGTGCGGTGTTTGAGAGGCGTGGGTCACCGGGCCCAGGCTCCGACCGAGGCTGTTGAGCGCCGTCGCCCCCCAAACTCCGTGCCACCCGCTCAGCAGGTGTGTGGGCGCGTGCCAGGAGAGCGGAGCTGGTGCCAAAGTCGCGTTGGAGGGCGGTGAGGAGCAGCCGCGGCACCCACGAGTTCCTCTCGTGTGTTTGCGCCCCCGGCAAGCGGAGGTGGCAACGGGCGCAGGCCAAAACGCGCCCCGGCACTACCGGGGCCTCCGTGGCACCGTCACGGGAGCAGCCTGGGTAGCCGCAGAGACTGGCCCTGTGGGAACATGCGCACACAGACGCGGTGGTCACGAGAACGACGACCCCCTCTGTCGACAAGTCAGACTGTTGGGGGCAAACACTGGGCACGCGGGCAACGCAGCCTCGCCTGCCGGAGGAGCTCACCCAATGGGACCGTGTCCAGATCTTTCAAAGTTCTGAGAGCTCCTCACCCTAACCCAGCTTGGTTAAACTTGACAGGGTCCTCCTGAAGACGTTTCATGAGACTCGGTGGGGCTTCTCGCGTGAGCAAGCATAGTAAATAATAAAGCCACAACAGCGACTGTTCGTGGAGGTGCTCCCTGCGGAGCGCCTGTGAAGTTAAATGGGCCAGAGGGCATCCCTGTCGCGCACACCCCCGAGGTGAATAGGAAATGGCTCCGACTCCCGGCCCCGTGGCTTTTCCCAGGCCTGCCCACCATCATGAAGGTCCTTAATGATTGTGATCAGAGGATCCATCGTGAAGAACAACCCACAGCCGGCACCGTCGCGCGGCGGCTGCTGCATATTGATGCGCGCGATTCTGTGTTCCCGGCGTGAAACTTCACCCGAGACAAGAACAACACCAACACACAAACACGGCTCCGCCTTTGATGCTCGGTCGAGACGACCGTTGCGACGACGGCGGCAGCGTCACCGCCACTGCCCTCATTACAATCACAAAGCGGAGGCACGCGGCCGCCTCGGGCTACGAGACGCTCGCGCGGCCGCATGGCCCCCGGGGCAGCGGCGGCAGCTGCGGGGCGAGGGGCGGCTGAGGCGTGCGGGCGAGTGTGGGGTGAGGAGGCGCGTGGAGAGTGCGTGGCGCACGAATTGAAGGGGGTAGACTGCGGGCAGGAAGTGGGCGAGTGTGTGAAGGGCGAGTGGTGTAGGGCGAGTGGTTAGTGTGCGGTGTGGTGTGAATGGTGAGTGGTGGGCGAGTGTTGAGTGCGGAGCGAAGGGTGCGAGGTGGTGATTGGGAGTGTAGCGCGAGTGGTTGGTGAGTGTGCCGGTGACGAGTGTGGTGTGGGTTGAGTGGCGAGTGTGGAGTCGTCGTCCCACTGCACATCGCTCAAGAGGGCCGCGCGGGCTGCTCGTTGTGTACGCAGGAGAGTGCCTCGTTATGCTAATGAGCGAGGAGGCGATGTACGCACTCGTGGTGATAAACGGAAAGTGGAGAACAGTTTTGTAAAAAAAAAAAGACGAAACCAACACAACAACCGGATAACGTAACAGTGACAATCGTGTGTCGTCCGTATCTGACATGCGATCTCACGACCGAAGCCACGACCCCACCACCATTCACATTAAAGTAAACTTTTTTTTATTGTTGCACCATCCAAGGCCCACTGAGCTATGTAACTCTTTTTCAGAAGCGACCTGGGCCACAAATGATGGCTCAACCAATCTCGCGTGGAAATGTAGAGTAGCCAAATACTCTAAATGCTCGTCTCTAAATGCGGATGGAAAAACCTGAGGAATCGGAGAAAAATCCACGCGGCCACAGGGAGAACACGCAAACTCCACACAATATAAGGCGTCGGGGTTGGGATCGAACCCACGAACCTCCTGCATACGAGGCGAGGTAGTTAACATCTCGCCACCGTGGTGCTCCCCCCCCCCCCCATGACCTCACTACCAAACCCAAGACCACCTGACCCACGTGACCGTCCCAAGATTTTGTGGAGGCCGCAGCGCGCGCCGTTGTCAAAGCCGCCCCCCTCACCCCTGCCCCAAGGTGACCCCCCCGCTCTCGGATTCGTGATTAGAATTCCCCCGTCGACCCCTTTTCTGCATCTGCGATCCCTTTCCGCGCGGGGGAGCGGTAAGGGGGGACCAGACAGGGACCGCGTGCGCACACGGGCCCGCCTCCTCATCCTCCTCCCCGCTCGGCCGTGGGAATTTGGCGGCGTCTATAAAAGATTCAGGCCTCGCGAGGCATCGGTCGTGAATGGCAAGTGACGAGATGCGACCAGACGCGGAGACCGCGGCCGCGACGCGGAGCAAATGAAAACGCTGAATTATACATCGCGCTGCTTCTACAAACACAGCCCCGAGTCCCCGCCAAACACGCGCTCTTTCGCGGCCTGGAGATTTTCTGTCGTCTAAAGTGGGTTTTCGGATTTCCCCGGGGGTGGGGGGGGGGGTGGTCCCGCTCCGTCCCACGCACGCCGTGCCGCACGCGCTCCCCGGGTCGCGCCCATAGGAAGCGGGGAAAGTAAACTTTCTCCTGTCCAGCGCCGCGAAAGAGAGGTGGGGGTGGGGGGACGGCGACGCCCCCACCCACCACCCGTCCCGCGGCACGCGCTAACAAGGACGCACGCACACACACGCACGTATCCACCGCAGCGCGTACGCGTGCACGCACACACATCAACCGCACGCTCACATACACCATGCATACACTCGCATGCACACATCCACCGCAGCACACACAGACACACCAAAGGTCACCCGTGTAGCCTTAACGCTGTTCGGGAAAGTGCCGCGAGTGAGCACCTATGAAGGCCGGCACCGCACACGAGGGGGCGGGTGTGGCCAGCACCACGCCCGACCGCCTTTGTCTCCCCAGTGGCGATGTTTACACATCATACTAGCTTCTCATTTGTTTCGACTTAGGGGTGGCCCTTGACTGGTCAGATATTCGTCGGGTTCATGCACTAAAATCTACACTACCGCTCCCCACGCACACACACACAATCACGCGTGTATGCATGTGCAGTAGCGTGTGCGCGTTCACAGCTACTGTACACAGCTATTGCACAAGCTATCATACGTGTGAGTGTTGAACTTCTTTCGCGCCCTACACACAGCTATCGCAGAAAGTCGGTCACACTTATTTTTGGCATCGCAAGCGACGGCTTGTTCTCGTTTCCAATTTCTATTTGCTTCGTTGCTCTCAAATGTAATGATTCTTTTTTTTTGCTTTCACTCATCTCTGCGACAACAGGTCGCTCTCGCGAGTGAGGCTCGCGGCCTCTCTCTCGAGTCCCCACCTGGTCGCGCACAACCGACTTGAACCCCTTGAAAGGCTGGCGACAGCGCAACCGGCCCCGGCGCGTGCGACGAGCGCGGGGGAGCACAAACCCAGCCGGAACGTCGGCCGACGAATTCCGTTGGCCGTCGGGCCGAAAAGGGACCGTAAATGATCCCCACTTCAGAGAGCGGGGACGCGCTATCGCCACGCCGGCGTTCCCGCGTCCGTCCGTACGCGGCGGCGGTGCCCGCCCCCCCGCGTCCCCGGGCGCGGCCCGGCCGCCCCGAGCGAGTCCAAGGAAGGGGGGCAGGAGGGGCAGCTACCCCTAGCCGGGAGGGAGAGAGGGCAGCCTGCCCCCTTACAGGGGAGGCGCGGGTGCCGCCGCACCCCGCCTCCCTCGTTTAACCGGTCAGCACGTGCTCTCTCGCCGACGCGGGGCACTCCAAACGGAATGTCAAATTAGCTGAGACGCCGTTAATATATTTGCCGGCGTCATCATTAATGCATGGGGGGGGGGGGGCTGGAGCGCGGCCCGAGGCGGCGGGGGGGGGGGGGGCCCGTGCGTTAGTGCCCGTGACCCCCCCCCACCCCCGCCTACCCCCACCCCCCACCCCCGCCCGGCGCTCGCGAGAATGAGAGAGTGAAAGAGTGAGTGTGGGGAAACTTGATTTGTATCGGGCGCCGAGGGGCTCCGCCGCCCGCGCTCACCGGCGAGGGACGAGCAAGCGCGCGGAGACTCGTCCCTCGTGCTGCCACACCGTCTGGAGGGCCATTCAGTTTCCTCCGCCGTGGGCGAGCAGAGCGAGTGTGAGAGTCTGTGTGTGTGTGAGCGAGTGTGATTGTGTGTGTGAGCGAGTGTGAGTGTCTGTGTGTGTGTGAGCAAGTGTGAGAGTCCGTGTGTGTGTGAGCGAGTGTGAGTGTCTGTGTGTGTGTGAGCAAGTGTGAGAGTCCGTGTGGGTGTGAGCGAGTGTGAGGGTCTGTGTGGGTGTGAACGAGTGTGAGTGTCTGTGTGGGTGAGCGAGTGTGAGTGTCTGTGTGGGTGTGAGCGAGTGTGAGTGTCTGTGTGTGTGAGCGAGTGTGAGTGTCTGTGTGGGTGTGAGCGAGTGTGAGTGTCTGTGTGTGTGAGCGAGTGTGAGTGTCTGTGTGTGTGTGAGCGAGTGTGAGTGTCTGTGTGGGTGTGAGCGAGTGTGAGTGTCTGTGTGTGTGTGAACGAGTGTGAGTGTCTGTGTGTGTGTGAACAAGTGTGAGTGTCTGTGTGTGTGTGAGAGAGTGTGAGAGTCTGTGTGTGTGTGAACGAGTGTGAGAGTCTGTGTGGGTGTGAGCGAGTGTGAGGGTCTGTGTGGGTGTGAGCGAGTGTGAGAGTCTGTGTGTGTGTGAGCGAGTTTAACTCGTGGTTTACCATCAGCCCCACCAAAACTAAGCACCTGTCTGGGTATTTTGTACCATCGGACACTCCACCCCCACAACTCCCAATCGGTGATGGGGCAGTTGTGGAGAGAGTGGAGAGTTTCCCATACCTGGGCAGTGTGCTTATGACCGGCTCCAGTTTAACAGCAGAGGTTTCACTCCGAATCAGTCGAGCGGCAATATCTTTTCATCGGTTGCGTAACGCTGTGTGGAAGCTACCTGGTCTGTCGCTCCGCACTAAGCTTCAGGTCTTCTCGGCCACGGTCATTCCCTCCCTTCTCGACGCTTGCGAAACGTGGACCCCCCTAATGGAACATCTTCGCCGGTTAGAAACATTTAGGCTGGCCTGCCTATGATCCATCCTGGGTTTAACCAGACTGGATTGTGTGAGGAGCTCACAAATCCTTGAAAGATCTGGGCAAGGTCTCATCGGTGAGCTCCTCTGGCGGGGAAGGCTGCGATGGCTGGGTCATGTAGCCCGCATGCCCAGCCACCGCATGCCGAAACAGCTTTTGTTCGGCCGGATTGAGGGGGCTAAGCAGGCTCGGCACGGGCTAGAGAAGAGATGGAGTGATGTGGTACAGGAGGACGTGGAGCTTAGTGGACTTGCCGATGACTGGTACCAGCGGTGTCAA